ACTGTGTTTCTACATAGGATAACAGGTTACAACCTTGTAACTTTGGCAGCTGTTGGTGGGCCGAATCAAATGGCTTGGCGGGCCAAATTTGGCCCGTGGGCCCCACTTTGGGCTCCTCTGTTATAAATGAATCTCAGGAGAATACTTATTTTTACATAACATAAAATCTGCAATAGATTTAAGATATACAGTATTTTATAGAAACTGGATAAGAAATAAGGACACTACAAATGTTTTTGTGACAGATAGATGCACAGCCCTCATTGGAACTATGGTCTTGTTGACAATGACTCAGTGCATATTAATGGAGGCGCATCACTAGCTATAGCAGCTAATAGGCCATGTCCAGTCCATTGATACAGATCAATGTCTGCAGAAAATATTGGTCTAAAAACAACTGTGATGATAAAAAATAAATATTAAAAAACTGGTCCAAATCTTTAACATAGCAGATGAACTCATGAACCAAGGTGTGTATGATTGAAGCACAGGCCGTGCAATGTCAGGTCTCTGATGTGCAACAATGACAAATCATTCCAAACATTTTCCCACCTTTACATGTTTTGTAAAGTTCAACTGAAAATATAAAGATATTAAAGCAAGATTTGATTTAAATACATCTTTCATTCTTCTGAAGCTCAGCAGCCACACATTGATATGGGAATATTTGCTCTCTTACTTGATAAAATGCTCTAAATGTGCCAGACTGTTGAGCTTCTCTTGTGCACAGAACTCTTCTAACAACCTCACAGATTTTTAAATTAAACTCAGGCCTAGACTCTTGTTAAAGAAACATTTYTTCTCTTCTGGTGAAGCCAGGTATTGTTTAGATGGATGCTTGATGTAAAACATGAAATTCTTCCTAACCTTCAGCTTTCCCCCTCCTTGATCCCATCCATATGGAGCTAAATTGGGGCCATAAAAGTTTGTTCAAAAGAAAAGATTTACAGCTGAAAAATTATGAAAGTGAAAAAAAAATTAGAAGTTCAAAATTACTTGTGAAATTCTTTTTTTTTTTCTTTTCTTTTTTNTTTTTTTCTTATAAAAGGCTAGATAAAACAAAAATATTGGTGGTAATTTTTGACTGTGTAACTTTACAAACGGCACCCCATAAACATCACGTGACAAGGATYATCAAAAAGAGATGCAATGTTTTGCYATAAAATTTCAGCACTACGACAACAAGATCAAAGGTTATCACATTTCAAAGGTCATTAAAATAATTTAATTTAAAACAAATGGCAGAGATGCAGGAAATAGGTCAGTATGCAGCTTGATTTTGACCCACTCAAGACCTATTTGCTGTTCCAACAAATGATTTTACATTTTTATTAATATTGTCATGTTAGGATAATAGTGTGGGAAGTTGTAAATATGATGTACCAAAGTAAAATTACCTTTACTATTACTCGGCTAAACTCTGGTACCGGTGTTCTGTCCAGTCAGCACRTTATGTACCGTAGATTACGATTAAATCATTAACCAGTTGATCTGGGAAAGTTAATATATACAGAAGCAAAGAACACTTGAGCTGTACAAACTGTGGGTCAAACAGAGTCCACGTCTGATGGACAGCATCTATGGTAAATACATTAACACAACCTACAATGAAATGTTTTCAGACTGCTTATAAATCAGGGGTGCCCAAACATTTTCCTTGAGGGGGCCAAAATAAAAATCTATCGGGGGCTGCGGGCCAAATGCAGTAATATAATATATTAAATACAAATACTTTTTAAAGTAAAGTCCTTTATTTTTAAAGATTAAGCCATGCAATTGCCCTCTTTTGTTTTATTCTGTGCACTTGGAGAAAGTCTGCCATATGCTCAAGTAGCAAAGGCTCATGGGACATTTCATGAATTGATAAAATATGAGTTTTCGTGGCCTTATAAAGTGTACAAATCTACATGTGGGGTCATATCTGATCTAAATATTTCTTGTAGTTTTATGTTTCATGTTTAATCCTAATAAATCAAAGATAAAGTCAGCACCATGAATGAAAACTACCTTCACTACAGCCCTTTTATATAGTCATTTGACCAATGGAAACACTGTGTTTCTACATAGGATAACAGGTTACAACCTTGTAACTTTGGCAATTGTTGGTGGGCCAAATCAAATAGCTTGGCGGGCCGTGGGCCCCACTTTGGGCTCCTCTGGTTTAAATAATGCTGTTAAACAACCTCATTCAACACACAGTCTGTTACAGAAC